ATATGGTTTCCCCTCCAGGCCCTTCACCATCTTCGTTGCCTTCCTTTGGACACCCTCTAATGGCTTAATATCTTTTCTATGTTGTGGTGCCCAAAACTGCCCACAATATTCAAGGTGAGGCTGCCCCAGCGCAGAGCAGAGCAGGACAATCCTCTCCCTTGACCAGCCGGCGATGCTTTGCTAATGTCTCTGCAGGACACGGCTGTCCCTCCTGGCTGACAGGGCACTGCTGACTCAGATTCAACTTGCCATAGACCAGAACCCCCAGGTTCCTTTCCGTAGCACTTCTTTCCAGCATGTCATTCCCCAGTCTGTACATATATCCAGAATCGTCCCAACCCAGCTGCAGGATCCAGATAATAGGATAAGTATGAAGCACTCAAATACTGTGTTCAGAAGCACTGCACTAATGCCTGTACACTTAATTTCTTCATGTGCATGCACATTTCTCACCATAAATGCGTGACTGGAACTCTGTGGACTCAGTTCATGTTTTGGTTCGTCTGCTCCTTGTGTGATTACTGGGAAGGGACTGGGCAAGCCAAGAATGCTGCAACCTTGCTCCCCTGTGCAGTCAGGAAGATGTGGTCCTGTGTGCTCTGACATCAAACCCTGACCCAGCTTCTCTCCATGCTGATCCCTGACTCTGTCACTGCACAAGTGCCCAGGAAGGGGCAAAGCCATCACATCCAGGGTGATTTGTTACTGCCCACTGCTAACACAACAGCCCCTGAGCAATCTGCTCCACCTGGCAGTGTATCCATAGCATGGGGACACTGCAATTTTGGATGCATAGCCCACCAAACCACTCAAAATTAGGAGGTGGTAGTAGAGCCTGATATTGTACTTGACCAGTACAGTCTTGGGCCCAGTCCTCAGCATCACTCACCCTCATCAGGCCACCTTGCCCCAGAGCTTTCCTGCCACCCCACTCCAAAAGCCAGGGAGGGGCTGCTTTCTGTAGTGCAGCGATGGAACAGAGCACAGCAGCCACTCCTGTGGGGCCAGGGAGGGGGCCTGCAAATTCAGAGGACCAAAAATTATAAAGCATGCTGTGGTGGGAGAAATCTCCACGTGAATGGGCACTAGGTGGAGATCACTGTGCCTCTGGTTCTGAACCCCCTCCAGGTAATAGAGTCCCACCAGGACTGGATAGGGAAGGAGAGGGAACAAAATATTTCTGAGAATGGAGGAAAACAAAGCAAGCTCTTCACACTCCTACTCCTGCCCCAAAAGGTCTAAAAATACCATAATACAGTATTTTCAGGAAACTTTTGCTATTAGTCTGCTAACAGTTCTGGTTTGACATCAACAACCACTGTAAAGGACAGAATGATAAAATTTTTTTGAGACAGGCCTTTATTAAGGTGCAAAATATATCTAAAATGTCAAACCAGCAAAGCAGAAGGCATACGATTGACTGAGCTAGTCCTTTAAGGTTCTGGACTCCCAGACACAACCTTCCACTTTCAAAACTGTTCTTCTCCTTTGAGACAAGACAGTAAATGGAAAGCACATCAAGCGCAATAATTCTGCATGGCCCAGAAGAGTTTTGATATTTGTTTTTCTGGCAGGATGCATTTTCCCTGATCAGAGTTACAGTAGCTAATCATTTATGTATGATCAGGCCGTTCTGCCAAAATGCATGCAAGCAAAAATACATCACAACCTCTTTCCACTGCACTCTTGGGATACACATTATCTATAAACATTTACTGTACCTGATAAATTCATCTATATTGTCATTTACTGAGATCTCTGCATAATGAGAGGATACAAGGTTTGCTCCAATGGCCAACAAATCCATCAGAAACATTTCATCCAAGATCAGTGGGAGAGGGATCGAACCCTTAGCAGTTAGGTTCTGTAGGACACAAAATCTCCACTGCATATTTTCTTTTGTTACTCATGGAAGTCCCTCGTCTTCTATGTCAGTGATCTGACGTGACCAAGCAACCTGATAAAGAGTCAGTCTTGCTGGACTGAGCCACCTACCTCTCCAGTTACCTATGGGGATCACAGTAACATGCAAATTGAGCAAACACAAATGTGCTTTCCAAATTAACCTTTCCTGTTCAAGTCCAAAGAGATACCAAACAACACCATTTTCCTTTCTGCAAAGGCAAAGAGAACATACCAGTCCCACCAACAAGGTCACACATACTGCTGCTTTTTTGCTCAGCAGTCATGTGTCACATGCACATTTAATATGCTGAAAAGAGTTTTAGCATAAACAGCTGTAACACAGAGTAGGCCAAAAAATTCTGACAATATGTGGTTGATCAGTCTAGCACGACAAAGAAAAATCTGGTGATGTAGCTGGTGTAGAAACTGGGACATCCCTTTACAGGCAGCCCTTCGTGATGTAATGGCATACATTCAGTTTTCCAAATACTTTAGAAACCTTGACCTCCTGAGCAAGCCTCCATGTAGGCAGTCCTCATACATAATTCAAATTCTGCTTCAGGCTTATTTCTCAGAAGCACCCACTACAAAGTGATGTAACTGATATTTTTCAGAAAGACTGAAGATAATCCTAGTTGAAGTGAACGTGCTCCCTCTAAGCTGTGACCGTGATTTCCCCTCCTCTTGCCCTACCAAGCTCAAAGGTGTATTTTTATGTGACCCAACAAAGTATTTTAAAGTAGTAGTCAGGGGACAAGTCCCTGACTAAGAGACTTTGATGTCCGGTCACAAACAAAAAGCAAAGAAAAAGAAAAAATGAAGAAAGAAATAAATATCCAGAACAATTTTAAACTCTGTCTCAGTCAGTAACATGACAGAAATCTGTGCTCACACATTAGAAGGAGTAGGTTAATTTGCGTGAACAGAAAAAGAAATGTCCCCCCACTGACAATTCTGGATGAGAAGCTGAAAAAAAAAGACATCAAAATTAGCATCCTTGGCAAAAAGCACACAAAATCAGAAATGTAAAAGAAAGGCAGTGGTAGGGCCTCAAAGCTCCTGAAGGCCAAGAAACCAGACCAGAACACTATGAAAGCATCAGGATACCTTCTGTAAAAAAATAAGAACAGTTTTTTTTTAAAAAGGAAAAATTCCCAAATTATCAGATGAATGCAGATTATTCTGGAAAGCAGTGACTAATGACCTAATTTGGACAACTCTACCTCCCTCACCTTAGCTTCAACCTCCACTTGAACTGATAGAAATCATAGCTATCTACAGCACTCAGGTTCTGACAGATCTTAGTAAAGAAACATAAAAAAAAAGAAATGGGCATAAGAATTGCCTGACAACAGCTTGATCTGGATTTTGTTGGTTTGGTGAACCATAAGCTGCACAGACAATGCAAACCTTACATTCCTGATGCCTCGAGCCAACCAGATTGTCTCTCCCAGAAGGCACATTTTGGGTTAAATCAGGCTCTCTAGGTAAGGGGGGTACACAGATTTGACACATACACTAATGATCAGTATGTAAAAGGATTTAAAAAAAAAAAAAAAGAAGTTTTATGAAAGACTGGATACTACCAACTACTATGTGAAACCATCACATACTTGGTAAGGGGTCAGCAAGTCTATGGAAATAATTTTCTTCACCTTTATTTTCATCTTATCCTTCTTAAACTGCTTCTAATGACAAAAGGACAATCTTTTCTACTTTGTTACTGTAAATAAATCTGCTGTTTCAGCAAAATGTTATTAATTTCAGTAGTCAAGCCAACCATATTTAGCCACAAACAACACACTGTTTTGCTTTTGGGCCCCACGTTTCTGAGAAATCACAAACTTACCTTTTATATTCCAAATTCTGTTTGTAACTTTTAACCACGGCCCTGTAAACATTGTATAGGTAACTTAATTTTTGCTCCTACAAGCCCCTCACTCCCTTTGGGATGTGAGGTGAGGTTCACTGTGGTGAGGATTGTGGTAATGCAAATAGTGCAAAACTCCAGGTAGAACGTAACAGATGAAGGCAGGCAATTACTGTGGGGTGTAACGGATGGCAGAAGGGTTCCTGGGCGAATGGATACCTGATGCGGATGGGCACCCGAACAGGATGCGATCCCGAAGCAGTTCCCAGCACACACCGGCCTCGACGCGGCCCTCAGGGCGCTGGGCGAGCGCGGGGCGCCCCCTGCCGGCAGCGGGGCCACACGGGGGGAAATCCCTCCGTCTTCCCCAGGGGAAATTGTGAAAGCCAAATCGTCCCGCTTTCACGCCTCCTTTTAGGAACACTGTGCCCGAGGGGGTCGAACGTCTCTCTTGCAAATCAATTAGGGCACCGCGCAACAGCTTCCTCCAGGGCGTCGCTCACACAAACGCCAGGCTCTGCCTTCTCTCTCAGTGCGTTATTCCTTTTAAACGGCCGCCTGTACCGAGAAAATCACCCACACCTTCCTCCCCCGCTGGAAAGAGCTGGAACACCTCGCAGAAAAAGCAGCGAGGCGCCTTCCCACGACTGGCGTACACGAAATCCCCCGGAGCAGCGGGGGTGCTGCAGCTCCTCTCGCGGAGCTCAGCCCGCCTCTCCCACACCTGGGCCAACTTGATGTGACACACTAGCCCAGCGACCTCTGTGCTCCGCTTCTCTGGGAGGACAGCTCAGCCGGGCGAATCCCGGGAGCAGCAGGATGCGCAGGAAGGCTTGCCAGCCCTTTCCTAAGCGGGGTTGGAGCCAATGACGTGGGGAGCACACGGTCTGAAGGCAAAGAATGCATTCGCTACCGCATGTATGGAATAAGTGCAGGGGAAAGGATTGCCCACAGCACCGGCCTAAGGCTGTAACGCGGCCCTCGCCCCCCAGGCTCGTTACCTGCCCCCGCGGGTCGTGTTCGGTGGGGCAGAGCGGGGCCCGCGGCTGCCCCAGCACGCAGGGGCACAGAAGCCTTACCTGGAGCTACTGAGGTGCTTTAGGCCCTTCACTGCCCCTCTGTAGCTATGTGAGGGGCATGAAACGCATTAGGGTAATTTTTGATTACTAGAACTGCTTTTAATCAACCAGCGAATAGAAACAACATAAGAGTCTTCCCTGCTCACCGAGGGAAGGAAGCACGGCCGGCGTCTCGTCGATAGGGGCAGTGCCGCGGCCGTTAACGCGTGTGGCGGTTCCATAGTGTAGTGGTTATCACGTCTGCTTTACACGCAGAAGGTCCTGGGTTCGAGCCCCAGTGGAACCAGCGCCAAATCGTTATTTTTGTCTCTTGGCTCACCGCGAGTTTTCATAATTTCCTTCGAAGCGAGGGGGGAGGATCGGTTTAGCTGTTTCCTCCTGGAGACGAGCAATCTCATGAGCACTCAAAGAAAGCGCGGGTCCTGCCTGCGGTAGGAGGCGGAGCAGTGCGTTTCGACGGGAGCAGAAAAGCCCCCTAAGTGGGAAACCCTCTCCCTCAGGAGCCTTTCCACAGGCTTAAACCTCGAGAGAGGAGCGTTTCCGATCCCCAGATTACCATAGTCCCCTGGGTGGGTAACCAAGGAGACCACAGACACCAGAGGGAACCACGGCGGAAGGGGGAGAAGCAGCAGCCTGTGCCTCCTCCGGGGCAGGGACAAGGGCAGCGGTGGAGTCTGCAGCCCGCTGCATCCTCAAGGAGAGGCTCACCGGGACAGACTGGAGCGTGGGGCCTTTAACCTCTGTGCTTGGAGAAGAGTCTTAGCGCTTTAGGGGAAAGGCGGGCGCTTTTCACAGCACACAGCTAGCAAGGACAGTTAACTCCAACCTGGTTTTCCCCGGTACTCTGTGTACCGGTTTTATTAATTAGGAAAGAAAGAGCCATCTCAGCTTGCCTCGGAGCAGTTTAACTTTTAAATTATAACATGTTGTGTCATTTTGCACGTGCAAGCCTTTAAGAAAGGGTATCCTCTGGGCATGGATGCTGGCACAGCATCTGTCTGTGTGTGGGAGCCCTAATGAGTGCTGGGGCTCAGGCATCTCTGCAGGAGGAGGACAAGGAGAGTCCCTGAGCACTGCTGACCTGGAGTTAGCTCTTGAGTATCTCTGAAGGTGCAGAGTGGGAGGGTGTGATTTACCTATCTTTAAAGACAAAAATTGGCTTAACTTACCTTAATCAGAGTCTTATTAAGAAACTTCCTTTAATCATCATATATTAAGAAAACTATTAACCTTTGTTAGTGCTTGCTCTTAGTAAAGAAACACTCTGAGGCATGGGCAAGCTGCAGTTACAGATTGCAGACCAATGCAGGGATACCTGGGCGAGGAAACAAAAGCTCCTTTGGGTAGAAAACACCCGTACTTCACAAAGTGAGACTTAGCATACTAAGCTCATAACATTAAACACCATAACAATACTAAGGGCCTGTGTATGCCACAACCTGAAAGTGCAGATGTACTGAAGTCTGGCTTTCCTCTGATTATTTTGCTTAGCAGCATATGTGCAGCTCACAGGAGGTGAAGCCAAAGCAGTGTGTTCTACCTCTTGGGTAAACTGTTTTCTACAGACTGGCTGCTTCCAGGATACAAGCTCAAAGGTGAGTCAGGCTTAGCTAGACTTCTCCTACTGTAGGATATGCAAGCCTCTGGTGTAGGTACTTTCCATCTAATAAGGATGGTGATCCCATGGTGCTTACCCTGCCATTGACAGCCACAGCACCCCCCAAGTGTGTGTCAGAGTGAGTGGGCCTAGTACTGGTGGTCAGCACAAATAACTATCTGCATTGTGTTTTCTTACATTTAGGAAAAGGGCCCCTTTTCAGAAGAGGACTCAAGCTCACTCTTCAGACTTGTAGAAAGAATATTTTATTCTAAGAGTCAGATTCTAAGTGTGTGTAGACCAGAGTAGCTCCATCCGTTTTGAGAGGATCCAGCTCCCCATGGTTTGACTCGAGCTCTAAAAGTGCTGGCAGTCTCACTTTCTCCACACATCAGTATCCTGCTTCTGAGAGATGTCCGTGGTTCGCACATACATGTATAAATGTGTATTTTGTGCGTTCCCAAACTGCAATAAAACAAAAGTGTGCCAGTCACACATTCCTGCTGAGACATTGCGTGCCGTGTGTGTTCAGCTTCCAGACACACGAATCGATGCGTGCCTCTCTGATTTAGCTGTCTGGCACTCTGACTTTGGGAGAAACATGAAATTGCTACGTGGAGTTGCACTTCTCTCTCACGCACCAGTACTTTTGCCTCGTGCTTCCCCTCTGAGGCCACACACACACGGTGCCAGTCAGACTAAAAGCATCTCAGGGGTGCAGGGTGATCTTTGTGTTGTTTCCCACAGTCTGGAGGAAGAAAACACACCAAGATTTCTGAGGGCTAAGAAAACATACCAGAATGTTGTAAGGCCAATGTGACATGAGCTAGATTTGGAGAAGATGCATGGCCAGAAGAGCAAACCTGCCCAGGTAGTTCCTGCCCCTGTTTTACACAGCAGTGGGGATGTCACCAAACTGTCATAATGTGGGCCATTTGTAGTAGTCTCAGTTTTGTTCTGTAATCAATGCCAGACTAATTTTTATTCTTTCTAAAATTTTATTTTTTTTAAAAAGGGCAACTGAAGCCCTTTCTGGTGCTGTATTGTGTACTGGCTTTTAAATGTTTTCTGTCTTCCGTACCTGAAAATATTTCTATGTTTTCTAAGAATTAACTACATTATTCATTCAGCAATGTTGTCTGCAGTGGCACTGTGGTTTCGCTCTTTGTGGTTATTAAAATGAAGGACCATCAACACCATTAGACACAAAGGGCCTGAACTGTGTGCTATTTATACAGGGACTTTAATTTTAAGGTTCTTCTAATCTTCATGTGAACCAGTTTGATTTTTTGAATGCTACAGACATTTTTAAACAAAGGCTGGCTTTCTTTCTTTGTAGAGGGAATTTTATAACTGGCCAGCCACCAGTCTTAAAGAGAGTCCCTTTGGATGAAATGTCCTTTGATAAGAGCTGTGCTATTTCTGAACACGTTCCCTGAGCTATTGTGCACTTCTTACAAAAAATCAAAACCTATTTGAAGCGTGGGGTTGACCATAAACCAAACTGATTATAAATTGCTTGGGGTGATGGAAGAGAATTTGGCTTTTCTCTTTTAAAACATGGTAGGTGATTTCTCTCTGTGTGGGCAGCTCTGTTTCCCTGTGACCCGTGCTTAGGAGACCATAAGGTGAGAGGCTGAAGTCCTGGTCTGTTTTTTTTAAGAGATATATGGATGAAGGTATTTAGGGATTTTTAAGCTGGGATTTTCAAACACATGGGATTTAGATACCAACTGCTCATCCTGGTAGGGAGGGAATAGATATCTGAGTGTCTTCAGCAGCTCTAGAAATCGCTGTCTCTGTGGCAAACCATTTTAGCCTGGACAAAAAAAAAGAAGGAGAGACACTCTTGTCTGGATACTGTAGAGCCTGGAGTAAGATGCTGCACTGTGGCAGATGCCCAGAGGCTGCCCTGGTACCCTCAGTGAGGCTCATGTTTCTTTATCCCCTGGCTGGACCTTCTGGTGGGTCACACTGCCCTGAGAAGGGGTGTTGCATATGAACATAAGATGTCTGACCAAAAATCAGGAGCAGTCCCTTGCCCTTAGAAATATGACCGCCTTCTTGGTGCCGGGGACAAGCTGCCCTTCTTGCTTATGCTGCCATGCATTGATTTTTCCTCAGTATTTGGGGTGAGCTGGCCCAGGTCCATGAAGCAGAATGGCTGTGCAGGGGTCTGCCTGTGATGACCTACCTCTGCATGTAGATAAAGTGGGGAAAGTGTTGGGTTGAGAAGGTTAAACTCCTTGAACTGAGCAAAGCAGTGAAGCCCCTTGGCAGGAGACTTGTTCTATCCATGTCACATGCCCCAGTGAGGCCGGGATGGTACTGGTGCTGGAGGTGTAACTGCAGTGGGATGTTGTACCTGACAACCCATTCACAGGGCATGCCAAATTTGTGACTATCTGAAGAGAAGTGAGATGAATCCTGCCCAGGGGACTGTTTCTGAAAAGTCAGCATCGTTGTCTGCACAGCATTTTTTGAATGGATGTAGACCAGAAGACTAGAGACACGATTAGCTTAACTCTGCAGCAGCCTACGTGATCTGTGTGGTGCTTTAATCTATTCCCAGTGCATACAATCTGTGATCTTTTGAAACAAAGCAAGCTGCTTCTGAAACAATTGCTTTCAAAAGCCTCCATTAAAAATTCACTGCTAATTGCACATAATTAGCAGAGATTGGAGGAATGTGTGTAAGATCCACTGGAATCCCTATGAGTCTTTTATCTTGAACATTTCAATCATTTTAAAATCAAACTTATTACTCTCTTGAATGTAAGCCTGTTGAGAGGATACTATAGGTAAAACTGTTAGCAAAGGCAGGTGTACATTTTTGGTTTGAGTTTTTTAGAACCTAGCAAGTAAACAACTGAAAAGTGTTATTTTTGTTTGGTATACTAATTGCAATTTTCAGCCCCACACAATTAGGTGACTGGAAGAGCAATAAGGCCAGAGCAAATTTCAACACACAGCTATTATTGAGAAAGACACTGATAGTGTAGAGGTAAAGAACTGGGGTGGAAGACAGTGAATAGCTGTTATATACAATATATACTACCTATCTTTTATAAGCATTAGTCATCTGCTTTTCTGTAGGGGGTATATGTGGTTTCTACATAGGTATATCCTTGTTTATTTGGACATATGTCTACATACCCATTCAGATTCACGCTCAGAGCGTCAGTATCTCAATACCTGTTACCTTCCAAAAACTGTTGCAGATGACACATCCTCTAGGATGGACCTTGATGTAATAATTGTGTGGTTGGCTTGACGGTGCTTGAGAAAATCATGAGAATGGGGGAGAGTAAGGTGCTTAGGCAACGCTTAAGTTAATCTCATGCCTTCCCATCAAGCCAAGCAGTACACTAAGGAGCTATTCACAACAGAGGAAGGGAAAGATGCAGTTCAAGATGGGAAGCGTCCTGCTGCCTCTTCTTTTCTGGTACAAAGGTACGCACTTTGCCTCCTGAGAGGCGCTTTCAGATATGTCTCTTTGTGTTTCTTGTTTCATCCGTGCTTTCTTCTGCCAGGGGCTATGGGGTTTAGAGCAAGCTCTCTTTACATTCTCATGGAAGCATAATAATTCGGGGAAAGGCAAAATGTGGAGGGGATATGTAATTTATGTACATGAGTGAGCAGTGTTCTTACAGCTCT